CTGGCCCATTAAATATTCCTTTTGATTGGGTTCGAGCTGCATCGATTTAAAATAGCAGCGCACATGCGCTCGAGTATCCAGCATCAAAGGGAAACTCTCTCTCTCTCTCTCTCTCTCTCTCTCTCCTCATTAAGGCGTATGGATCAAAGTGCAGGCCTGTCCTCGTCCCCTGTGAGTCTCTGATGTGGCCGTTCTCTGGACTCGATCCCTGGCTCACTCACTGGAACCAACATGCAGCAAAATCCCACTGACATTTGTCCTTTGACTTTATGGCTAGGTTTGGAGTACTATTCTGCTTCATTTATTTATTTTTGTCCTATTTCCTATTTATTGCTTTTTTATTAATCAAAAAATTAAATGTTATTATATAAAGTATATTATTTTTTATTTTGGTTTTCAGTTCATTTTTTAAAATAAACTACATTATATAGATTTTATACTTGGACAGTCATAAAATTTTTTGATAAATGCTTTTTTTCCCCCTTTTAATTGGCAATAAACAAACATTATTTATATATTTTATAATCTGATTTTAATTGCAATTATCTTAATTGTTTAAATATTGATTTTTGTATTAAGGAAAAACGTTCAGCCGAAAGATAAAGGATTGATAAATAATTTATATTTTCTCATTTCTATCTTAACTTTTTATTCATAAATAAATTTTATTCAAAAATTTATTCATTAATTCAAAATATTGAGAAGCACAGTTGTTTCCAACATTGATAATAAATCAGCATATTAGAATGATTTCTGAAGGATCATCTGACCCTGATAACTGGAGTAGTGATACTGAAAATTAAACTTTGCATCACAGGAATAAATTATATGTATATGTACAGTATATGTATATGTATATTTTTTTTTTGATCAAATAAATACAAAAATCTTTTAGTGTGATCCCAAACTATATATACTGTTTTAAAAAATAAATAAATAAATATAAATCTTTTAGAAGTGACTTATTTACATTTTTAGTTTTTAAACTTATTTTATTAAATTGGTTTTAAACTGTTATTTTATTACGATCTAGTTTATCTTTATTGTTTACATTTTAATTTTTTAGAGGAAAAAACAAAAGTAGTTTATTTACATTTTTAAAAGTAGAATTATTAATCTGATAATTGATTCTTTCATTTTGTGCAAAATGTTTGGAACAAACACTACACTATTTATTATTATTATTAATAATATTAATATTATTATTATTTGAATGGACTATCTAAAGAGATTTTAACACAAAAATGGATTACCAAAACAAAAATAACCATATTTTCATTCCAAGATGATAAATGCCACTACATACATTAAATATGTCATGTGTCAACAATGTATAATACTACTGTTTGAAACATAAACTGTGCAGTGAGCAGTACGATAGTTTTCATTCCAAACAAAGTTTATTACTGTCATCAGGGTATGAATGTCAGGAGTGTGTGTGTGTGTGTTATACTGATGTTTTCTTTACATTTTAATGGCTCTTATAAAGATCTTAAATGTTCCCTGAAAGATATTTGTGTGTGTGTGTGTGTCATAAATGTGTCATCCAGCACAGCAGGTCCAACACCTTGATATTTACCTGTCCTCCAGCCAAACCTCAACCCAAATACACCCATAAAAACACACTTTCTTCTCTCTCGGCCTGTCCTGCACCCCTGGGGTTTCTCTGTACTCATTTTGTTTTCCTCGAAATGTCATCCTTTTATCCTTCACTCTTGCCATTCTGTCCTTTTTGCCTCTGCAGTAGTTTCATCTTTTATTTTGATTTTATTCAAGCTTAATGTCATATTCTTACCATCATATATATCAACTGGCACATGAATGAAACATTCACACACACACACACACACACATTAATTCAAAATATTGAGAAGCACAGTTGTTTCCAACATTGATAATAAATCAGCATATTAGAATGATTTCTGAAGGATCATCTGACCCTGATAACTGGAGTAGTGATACTGAAAATTAAACTGCATCACAGGAATAAATTATATGTATATGTACAGTATATGTATATGTATATGTATTTTTTTTTTTAGTTTCATCTTTTATTTTGATTTTATTCAAGCTTAATGTCATATTCTTACCATCATATATATCAACTGGCACATGAATGAAACATTCACACACACACACACACACACACACACACACGTGAATGATGCGCTCCCTGAAAGTATTCAGTGAGGTCAAGAACATACCGAACTATAGATGAAAGGACGCTTTCTACAGATGGGTACAAAATAAGCTTTAAAAAGTCAAAGAAAAAAATAAAATAAAATATGTATTTTTTTAAATAATGAATTCATTTTCAAAAAAGTGTCAGTGAAAAATAGGCATTACAAGCTTAATTTGCTATTTACTTTATAGAACATTTACGATTTTTGCAACCCAGTTACAAAATGTCATGCTTTTTTTTTTTTTTTAAGTTGTTCATTTTTTTGTTCAAGCAATTAGTTGTTCAAACAAACTATATATATATATATATATATATATGTGTGTGTGTCTGTGTAATAATTTATGTATTTGATGTATTTAGTATAATATTTGCAATTTTTGCAGCATGGTTAAAAAAATGCTAAATGCAGGGTTCCCCCCCCCCTATTTT